TTTGTATATCAGAGCCTTCATCTATCCCAATAAACCTTAAAATTGGCCTTTTAACGATATCCCAGATTTCTTGAATAATCTATTTGTGGTTTTGTAACACCTTTTCCTTATGATCAACTGTAATTTCAAGATTACATACTTCATCTTTGAGGTATGAAAATCTGTTCTCAAAGATGTCTAGTCTGCTGGTAATGCTTTTCATTGAATTTTTAATTTGATTTATTGATTCCTTCATGTTAAGGATTTTCATTTTAATTCTTTTTCATAATCTCTCTTTATTGAAGTAATCTTTAACCTCCTATATTTCCTCTCTGATTTCACTCTTTACATCATCTTTTAGTTCATAGAATGTTTATGAATTTTCTAAATCTCTTCTCTGACATTTCCTCCACTGTAGTGTCAATGAGTCAATTGTTGGAGTATTATGGGCTGTTTGGGATGGTTTGTTCCCTTGATTTTTTATATTGTTTTTATGTCTACCCATCTATCAGTATAGTTCTGACTACTTCTTTTAAGTGAATAACTAGTATGGAGCTTCTATTTGTTAAGAGCCCTGGGTTGAATGGATGTCTAGATAATAATACTTTAATTCAATGTGTGACTTCTGCTGATCCCAATACCAGCTCCACTTTAAGAGATACCATCGAGCCCTCTTAAGTATAATCACTTCTGACCCTAATCTTGTATGATACAACCTTGTAAGAACAAAAACTTATTGCAATTATTCACTGTAGTTCCTCAAATTTAGGTATAAACCTATAATAAAGTTCTGGAACAGGTGAAAAATTAATCTAGTAGTTAAATTTAGTACACTTACTATAAAAATTATATAGTAAGTAAAATTACATTAATTATATAAGAATTAATTTAGTAGTTAAATTTAGTAAACTTACTATAACCTTAAGAAAGTTCTAAAAGGTGGGAGGAAAAAAGTGTAGGCAAATGGGGGAGGGAAAAAAACAGAAAAAAAAAGGGTGAGTGAAGGGGGTAATTAAAAACTATAAAAGGGTACTTACACAAAGGTAGAAAGGAGAATAAGTGAATGCGTATATTTAAGGTAGTAGCAAGAGGAGGAGTAGGGGGTAAGAGAAGCAAGAATAAACTAGAGCTAGAAAAACAATGCTAGGAAGATTGGTTCCAATTAATCCTTTATACCATTACATGAAATATATTCAAATGGGTTGGAGATACAATGTTGACTATTGCATTAACAATTATCATTCAAGTTAAGAAGTTATTTATATAATCTAAGTTGACACTATAGTTGTTCATACTCTAGGAGGGTGTAGTGTTGTGAGTGGGCTGATTCTAATGTTGCAGAAGTTCAGGATGCAGACTCTGATGTGCCCCTGCGTTTGCTATTGGTCACCAGTATTTGTTCCCCTCTGCTACATTCTTTTCATGGTATTGAAGATCCTGATAGCCTTCAGAGGTGTTCCCACTGCTGCCTCTGCTCTCTGAGATGCTGTGATGAAGGGTCTCTGGTGGTTCACCTGCAATCCAGTTTACATTCCACCAGATTATGAATGGTAGGTATTGATTCTCTGTGCTTAATACGTCTGGTATAAGTTCCTGCAAATATCCAAATAATGCCCTGTCACTTGCCAGTTGTGATCAAGGATCAGGCCAGGCACCTATTGTGGATAGATATCCAACCCTTCCTACTGTGTAGCCTCTGCCAATTTCCCACTGGGTCTGTTAGTCACTGGATATTCAGGCAGCTTACCTCTAATATGGTGCTGCAATCCCAGGGACTATCCCTGGGCTTCCCATGATGCTTCCCTTAAGTACTAGAGGTCAGGGCCTGGTAAATCAACTTTCTTTGGTTTGGGAGCCAAAGGGGCTTCATTGTAGCCTTTGAGTTCATTAAGTCTGTGCAGAGCTTTTTGCCCTTGCCTGGGTCCCAGGAGGCTGAGCAGGGCTAGGTACACTTGCCCAGCCCAGGTCCCCACCAACTCACTCCATTCTTCTGTTCAGGGAGAATTGGACAGTAAGGAGAGACTTTCAGAGATTTATGACTAGTAGAGGTCGCTCTAGAAGTAATTTCTGTCCAGATCCTTAAAAAAGCCCACTGCAGTGGGGGCTTCCCTCTGGTTTATGTTGCAGCTGTGTGGGCAGGGAAAGATGTTGTGCTGATTTAAGAGGATAACTGGTGGGCTGCAGGCTCCAAAAGATATCTGCACCACACCCTCAGCTTTATCTTTATGATTTGGTTTTAAGTGGTTTGTGCTATTTTCAAGTACTTTCTGAATTTTAAATTTTGTTAATCTTTTCTATAGTTTTTCAACAATTGTTTTAAGTGAGTGAGTTTAAAATAATGTCCATTCCCCACTCTCTCTTTCTCTCTCTGATGTGCCCAACACACACACACATAATCCACAGGTTCAGGTTAGAATACTCTTGAGTTTTGTTTTCTCCTCTGGTAACCAACCTTTCAGTCTATCCAGGTCTCAGACTATGTAGTTGAGTCTTAGACCATTATTTTATCACCCACCTCTAAAGTCTGCTTTTATTCTCTGCCTCCTTTCTTTGTTGGGAGGAAATCATTGGGACTTGCTGCTCAATTCACTTCTGCCATCTTCCCCCATCTAACATTTTATGAGACCTAAGCATCTGTGAATTTTTATATCCCTGGGTTGGAGGGTGGCCCTGAAACCAATCATTCATGGACCATATGAGGGTTGTACTTCAATCTATAAATCACAATGTACCTTTTTTGGAATAGGAGATTGTAAACTGAAGACTTCATATAAGCACTGTCAAAAACGATATCTAGTAGTTACATATGGCTATTTATATTTAAAATGAATAAACTTTAAAAAGTGAACTGTTTAGCACTCTAGCCACATTTCAGGTGCTCAATAACCACATGTTAACTGTGGTTATCATCCTGGACTGCAGATAGAGCACAATTCATTATTATAGAATGTTTTCTTGTACAACAATGCTGAAATGAAATGACTGAAAGTTTATGTATCCCCAAAATTCATATGTTAAAAGATAATCCCCAATGAGATGGTATTTGTAAGTAGGATTTACTGTATGTGATTGGATCATGAGAGCAGAGCTCTTATAATAGTTCTTATGATAGTTCTAATCCCATTCATTATAAAATCTCCCTAGCCCCTTGTTCACCATCCAGTGATACAGTGAAAAAACAGCTATTTATGAGGAAGAGGGTACTCACCACACAGATTATACAAAACCTTGATTCTGAACTTCCTGACCTTGAGAAATGTGACAAATAAATTTCTGTTGTTTATAAGCTACCCAGTGTATAGTACATTTGTTATATATAGCAACCTCATGGACTAAGTTAACTGCTCTTGATGCTATCTGGGCCACAGGTTAAGTAAATAAGATCCATTTGAAATGAAAGGGCCAATATTATTTCTTGCACAGATTGCACAAGATTTCTGTCTGGAGTATGAATACATAGAACTAAAATGGGTCATAAGTGAATCTCTTATCTTAATGCCTTTAAAAACAAAGGGTCCCCAGTTCCAAAAAGAAAAACACATGTTCCTTAAGTTCTATTCCCAGACTGAAGACACTTTGTTGACATCAAATTTTTAGGGGATGAATTTTCCTCTAGAAGAGTCCAGGGATAGAGCACAAAGTTTGAGAAGCAGGAATCCATCTAAAGAAGAGAAATTCTGGGAAATGAAGTGGCAAAGAGGATGGGGGCAGTGGAGTACTCTCTGTGGTTTACTCAGAGCAGCAGTTCTCAAAGTGTGGTATATGGAACCCTTGAATTTCTGAGATCCTTTCACAGGATCCACAAGGTCAAAACTATTTTTATAACATTACTAAAACATTATTTTCACTGAAATAAAATTCAGCAAGAATGAAGCTACAATACTAAACTTTAAGAGTGGTTATTGTAATTTTTTACCACCTCTTAATTACAGAAGAAGAAGTCACTTTCATATAAACATGTCCAGATTGAAGGATTAAAAAATATTAACTACAGTAAATCTCTAGTCTAGAGTTCACATTTTTAAAAATATCTTATATTATTAAATGGGAAATACACATAAAGCCTACTACATTCCAAATTGGGATGTTTATGTCAATGAAAACATTTTATAAATAGTATCAGTTTGTTTTATAGAATATCACTTTTACTTGAAATGATAGAAAAACTATGATTATTTAGACTCGTATATCTGACTGACATTAAAATATATAGACACATCTATAGATTTTAATTCAACAGAATATCAAAAGTTCAGTGACAGTGTTTCAGGGTCTGCATTGCAAATAACCTTTAAGAAGTTGACATGTCATTTTAGAGTATTTATTTAAAGATGAATACCCACAGTTATCCAAAAACATTATTAAAATTGGCTCCTCTTACATATTGGTATGAGGTTAGATTTTTTTTTCATATATTTCAATCAAAATTATAGGTTAAATGCAGAAATAGATAAAAAAAATACATAGGTCTTCTAACAAAACAGACATGAAAAGGACTTATAAAAATGTGAAATGTAAAGAAAATCCAGCTTCCACTTTATTACTTTATTTTTTAAAAACAGTATTTCTCTAAAACTATTTTTCTGTTAACACGCAATAAATTATTAATTTGCTAGATAGATTATTTTAAAACGGTTTAATTTCTAATGTGATAAATATTGATAACTATAACACACATAAACAAAATTACTTTGGGGGGCCTACTTAATTCCTAAGGGCATACAGAGATCCTGAAACTAAAATGTTTAAGAACTGCTGACTTAGCACCTGAGGCAGGACTCTGAAAGACTATGTCTTCATGGCAAGAAGAGAGAGCTTAAGCTCGGCAAAATCCCCAGGTCCCGGGCATGGCTCTCAGGGTCCCAGGACCTAGGAGGGTGTGTAAAGAAGCCTAGAGTTGGGGAATACCTTGGGGATTTCCTCAGGTTTCACTTTTGCTTCTGCCTGGAACTCGTGACAGGGCCCCAGTACTCCTATTGCGGGTAGGATTCATAGAGAAGCCAGTCAGCGTCGCCCGCAGTTCCTGGTTATGAAATCCAAAGGGAGGGACCGAGACTGATTGTCCCCAAACACGAAGGATCAGAGCCATGGAGCCCCGAGCCCTTCTCCCACTGCTGTTGGGAGCCCTGGCGCTGACCGAGACCTGGGCTGGTGAGTGCGAGAACCGGAAAAAAAAAAAAAGACCTCTGCGCAGGAGAGGTAAGGGGACAGCTCTGAGCGGACGCAGGACCCTGGGAAGCCGGGTCTTTTTGACCGCAAACCCAGACCCCTCCCCGGGTCCCCATCTCCTGAGTAGTGAGTGGCCCCTTCCCTCACTCCCTTCTGCCTCCCCGCGCTTCCCGTCTCACAAGCCCTGGCGCCCTGCTACTCCACTCCAGGCTTTCTCAGCCTGGGACCCAAGGTCCCGCCCGAGGTCTCAGTCGCTCCCCTCCCCCAGGCTCCCACTCTCTAAAGTTTCTCATCACTGCCATGTCGCGACCCCTCCGCGGGGAGCCTCACATCATCGAAATGGGCTACGTAGACGACACGCCATTCTTGCAATTTGAGTTTGACGCTGGAATTCGGAAGATGGAGCCACAGACGCCTTGGATGGAGCTGGAGGGGCGGGAGTATTGGCACCGGGAAACACAGTATGCCAGAGGGCTACAGCAGATTTACCGAGACGGCCTGAAGATTCTGCTCAGCTACTACAACCAGAGCGACAACTGTGAGTGACCTCTGGCCAGGGTTCCAAGTAACCCCTCCTCTTCTCCCACTTTTCTGCCAAATCCTCCAGAATCTCCTCGGGGTCTGAGACTCATGGCGATAGTGTGAGACCGGCTCATTTTCATTAACCTATGAAAAATGTGGGGCTCTGGTTTTGTTTACTGTTTCGGGTATGGAAAAGATCTCACTAGTCACCTCCAGTCGTCTGAAGCGAGGGCTGGAGTAGGTGGGGGGGAACCTAATCGCGGGATGGGATCAGTGTCTCACACCTTCCAGAGGGTGTACGGGTGCGACGTGGGACCAGACTGGCGCCTCCTCCGTAGGTTCTGGCAGTACGCCTATGACGGCACCGATTACATTGCTCTGAATGAGGACCTACGCTCCTGGACCGTGGTGGACATGGCAGCTCAGATCACCCAACGCAAGTGGGAGGCCCAGGGAGTGACGGAGACAAACAGGGCCTTCCTGGAAGGGAGGTGCGTGGAGATACTCCGCAAGCACCTGGAGAACGGGAAGGAGATACTTCAGCGCGCAGGTATCAGCAGCGGCGGGGCAACTTGAAGATCTCCTGTACATTCCCCCATGCGCCTCTTGCAAAAAAAGGAGAATAGTGTCCTCCCTCTGATCCAAAAGGGTATGAGTTCAACTTGGTTTCCAAAAGCTGTACCAGAGAGTGACTCTAAGAACCACTTGTCTCTTAATTACACCAAGGGGTCGTAGGGCTGGAGGGAAGACAATCCTTAAAATAAGTGATCAGTTTCCTT